CACCCCCCCGCCCTTCCCACAGGAGTGCTGACATACCACGTGGTCAAGGGTACTATATATAGCGCAGGCCTCAGCCCTAGCCAGAAAGTGACCACTTTGGGAGGTAAAGATCTGGACGTACGGGTGACCAGTGGTGAGTGGCCGCAGTCATAATTTCGGGCAGAAGATATTGGGAGACGTCTCAGGCGAGTACCCAGGAACTATTCGGAGACGCAGTCCAGCACACAGATGCACTGCGTATTATTTGCTGTAGATCACACGTATAGCCACTAAAACTTGCAAATCAATTATTTTAATGAAAATTTCAAACTTAACTGCAAAACATTAAATTAAGGGTTAAAACAGGGGGGCATGCCCCCTGTAACCCTCCTGAATTTTTTACTTGGTCTAGAGGCAAAAAGCATTTTGATTGGTCTATCTCTGTCGGAGACGTCTCCGAATAGATACTGTGTGATCAGTTGGTTAGTTCTGAGTTCATCTTGCTGTGAGGCACGAGACAGGTCATTTGTTTATTTAGTTTTAGTATGAGTTTTTACTGCGGTGCGGTGGCGGAGCGGTAAGTGCGCTCGTCTCCTAAGCAGAAAGTCCTGGTTCGAGCCCCGGTTCGGACAGGGATTCTTTTTCGCCCCCTCCTGCCCACCCAGCAGTAATGGGTACCTGACTTCGAGTTGGGGAAGTAAAGGCGGCGTGGAAAGGAACTGGCCACCCTACCACTATATGCCGAAGGCCCAGGAAGTTGTCTCACTAACAAGGCAATCCCCAATGTCCGGATCGGATGCGAGAACAACTTTTTAACTTAAAAAAAAACAACTGCACTTGAAAAAAAAAGGGTAATATAGTAATATAAGAGCCGAAATTGGAGGTGTTATAAGAGAGTAACATAATACACAAAAAAAGAAGCAGGAGAGATAAAGACGATTGATGTCTTTTACTTATAGTAAAGAACGAGCAAATCACTTAAGTGCACCCGCCTACCGCCCACATTTGTTTGTTTGTTTGAGGAAATAGAGGGCCATCGACATAATTATGGATATTTAGGGCAAGAAAAAAAAAGACAGATAGACAGACACAAAAGAGAGAAAGAAAAGAAGTAGGACCTAGCAGTGGCGCCTCGAACTCTGATACAACATTGAGAAAAATGTTTGTTTTGATTCATTATGTTTTTTACGCCCCCACCGACACAATTTAGAAAGTCTAGGAGGTGGTCCCCTAAACAAAACCCAACAACAACAGCAGCAACAACAACAACAACAACAACAATAACAACAACAACAACAACAACAACAACACAATGCAAACAATCCCCATAGAAATAACAACAACAACAACAACAACAACAACAACAACAACAACAACAACAACAACAGCAACAACAGCAGCAGCAGCAACAACAACAACAACAACAACAAACAAAAAACAAAAACACAACACCCAAAAAACCTGTCTCCCCAGCTGGCGTGACTGTGAACGGCGCTCACGTGACATCAGCTGACCTGAGCACGACCAACGGCGTCATCCATGTCCTGGACAAGATCCTCTTCCCGCCAAACTCTGGCTTCAGTCACCTCAACAATCCCTCGTCTGCAGGCTTCCTCCTGGGTTGATGGGCTTCCCCCCCACCTCCCCCCCCCCCCCCTTTTCTGGTGACGGTCTAGCTGTGCGTGATGTGTGTGCACTGTGCACAGATTGACAACCGGCCAAAATTAGTTCTAGTTTTAGTAAGAGTTTTACGGCACTTGCAACGCAATAAGGTCACAGAAGTGCCCAAGATTAGAGGCGTTACAGTGCTTATATGACCTTATGCAGTTGCGAGCTCCGTAAAACCTCTACTAAAACAAAAAAGAGGTTTTACAAGAGAGTAACAAAGACACAAAAAGAAGGAAGAAGAGAGGTCAGGACAATAGATGTTTGGTAGGATAGAAGGAGCAGACCACACCAGGACAAATATAACCACACCACCCACTCTGAAAGAAATAAATGTTTGAAATGTCAGTGTGATTTATTAAGTCATCAGTAAAGATTGCTACAAGAAGAGGTCACAGAATTCATTCATTCATTCATTCATTCATTCATTCATTCATTCATTCATTCATTCATT